ACTGCCCTTTAATGGTTCTGAAATTTTAGTATGTATAAGAATTATTATATCAAGAAGTTTATTTCATAAATTCATGCAGCTTATAATTTACTGGGCAATTTTGACTAGACTCAGTTTTACTGCCAGTAGCTCTGATGAGATGTCAGTTGTAGAAAGGCTGCATTCAGCCAACACCATGCATGAGGTGCCTGTGGGCCCTGGTATGTAACTGTGATCAGGATGTGTACCCTGCCTTACAGCGCTCCAAGCTGTGGTTGGGGGAAGTTGTTTAGAAGACTCAAAAGCTGTGAGCACCGTGTCTGAAGATGCAAAAATGCCAGGGGACTGCATTTGTTGACTGATATTTAGAAATACTTTTGCACCTCAGTGATGCCTGACCATGCATTGGGTCTGAATGTTCATGTTTCTTGGTGAGCCTGTCTTGTGTCACTTCAGCCATGGGTTGCCCTGATCATTAGTATCTGCCCAGAGAACTTGGCACATGTTAGTCACTCAGTCGTGTCTAACTCTTTGTGACTGCATGGACTGTAGTCCACCAGGCTCCTCTGTCCATGGGATTTCCCAGGCAAGAATTTGTTGTCCCTCAGATGCTCAGTCATGTCAGACTTTTTGCGACCCCATGGACTGCAGCACAGCAGGCTTCCCTGTCCTTCACCATCTCCCAGGGATTGTTCAAACTCATGTCCATTGAGTCCGTGATGCCATCCAACCATTTCATCCTCTGTCGTCCCCTTCTCCTCCTGCTTTCAATCTTTTCCAGAATCAGGGTCTTTTCTAATGAGTTGACTCTTTGCATCAGGAAGACTAGGTAAACATTCCCTTCTCCAGGGGATCTTTCTGACCCAGGGATTGAACCCAGGTCTTCTGAATTGCAGGCAGATTCTTTACCATCTGAGCTACCAGGGAAGTCTTGAGAACTTGGCAGCTCACACCTGAACTGGAGGATGATTTTGATCCTCAGAGGACATTTGGCAATGTCTGGAGAGATATCTGACATTTCTGTCACAGCTAAAGAGGGTTGTTGACCTCTAGTGGGTAGAGGCCAAGGATTCTGCTAAACATCTCACAAGGATGAGAAAACCTGAGCTAGAAACTGTCTCTTCTGAATTTTGTCAGTAGCAACATGACTATATATAGAAGCTAACTGTTTCTTCATGGAAATATAAATTCAAGAGGATGAAATGTGGACTTCTGAGGATAATGATGTGGATGGGATTATTCATTCTGCAGTTGTGTACCTGACTCTACCCATAGGAACCTGGCTGTACCCCATCTTGGCTGTTTATTAATGTGGGGAAAACTGATGAGGACTAATTGGGCTGGTTAGGTGAGTTCCCAAGGGGTGCTCCCAGCCTCTTTGCTCTCAATGGCTGCTTTGTACACCGCTATTATGTTTTTCTCTACGGAGGCACAAGGAGAACTGTGTTATTCTATTGTCACCTGTTCAACAGGTTTTGTCTGAACAGTCTTTGAGAAATAAATATCTTTTAAAGGGGGAAAAAAGCACACTTGGCCTTTGATTCTTGGAAGGCTAGATGACCTCTTTCAATGTAACTCTAGACTATTTTGTGTAGAGTTGGGAGGAAATTGCTCAAAATGCATTTTTATTTCTACTGTCTATTATCTATTCTCTTCACCACCACGACTATGTGTTCTTTGGTTTGAATAGTGTTACCTGATATTTGCACTGGGTCTGTTTTCACGTTAGAACTTGTTTTCTTAACTCTTATTCTAGGATATGTAATTCAATCTGGATCCCGAATTGAAGTGACGTGGTACAGATAAAATACACTATCCTTGGAATTCTCAAGTTAATTAAAAGAGTGTACAGATTATGAAGAAATCTGTCCCAGTGCAGACTGCCTGCTTGTATTTGCACTTAGGAGACCCATAATTACGTAGCAGTCTCTGTTGTTGAATATTCAATTGTTTTCAAGTTTTGGGAATTACAACCAAAACAGCAATTGACATTGTTATGGTTGAGTTAATAGTTATTTCTTAAGGAAACATCCTAGAAAAGTAAAATTATTGAAAGGGAATATAAAATTTTAAGGCTTTGAGTGCAATTTGCCAAAGATACCTCTGGAAAGTTGTACTCATTTATACTCAGAATAGATAGATATGCATGGAGATGAACTTTCTTCTTTAGAAATTATGACCAAGAGTTAGTGCAGGAATGTCTAGGAGGGTCAAGAGTATAGTGAGTGAACCTTCCAAACTGTTGGGACTCATTCTCTTATTATCTTACTCTCACTTACTTGACTTCGGCCCCTCACCTGTTTCAGGAACATGTAAGGCATGCTCCTCCCTCCGGGCCTTTGCATTTGCTAGTTGAGAAATAAAATAAAATATTGCCTGCCACAATGGTAAAGAAAGGATCTAGACACCACATTACAACTGGCCCAACTGTGAGTCCTGAGGGAACTCAGGAAGGAAACAAACAATGCCTGCCATCTAGCAGTCATGAGACTTCAGCCACTCCCCTGCTCTATGAGAACGCTCTGCTGACCCCAGACAGCGGAGGTGCACGCCAAAGAATGATTTCAGTGAACCCAGACTCTTGCATCTTACCATACACAGAGAAGCACTAAATTCCTTAGCTTGAGATAGCTAGTATTCTTTTATTAACAGTATTCTTTTGTTTTGACTTCCTGGTGTGGTTGCAAAAACTCCTATATATCCTGGCTCGCTGCTTCCTCTTGGGAGCAGTTTACTCAGGGTGATTTGAGATGCTGCCTCCCGGGCTCAAAGTCCTAAGAACATCCACTGAATAAAACATAACTCTCAACTTTTAGATTGTGCATTTTTATTTCAGTCAACATGCTCTCTTGGCCTGTGACATGATTTCCCCAGGTGTTCGCATGACTCACCTCCTCACTTCTCATAGGCCTTTGCTCACATTCTGCCTCTCACTGAAGCTTTCCCTGGTATTCCTATTTAAGACTGCATCCTGCCCCTCCCACACAGATATACTCACAGACTTCAGATTCTCCTTCCCTGAATTATTTCTCTCCGTGTCCCTTGATGCCGCCTAAGGTGCAGATTTGCTGCTGTATCCCCAGCACTGAGAAAACAGCTGGCACAGAATTGGGCTCAATAATTATTTGTTGAATGAGCCACTGAACCACCGCTTTGGAGATGTGCTCCTGCTGGTTAGCACTGATTATCTTCACACCAGGCTGGCTTCATCCTCCATGGCCAGAGGGGCAGCCGTTTTGTCTTGGTTCATTTCCTTTACTTGTCAGCTCTGGTGAAGTTGGTTATTTATATCACTGCTTGTGTTATTGTTATTAACTGACATTAGGCCGTCACTGTTAGCTCTGTTATCTCTATTATCTTAGTCATGTCCAACTGCCACTGAGACAGGGGTTCGTAGCTGACAAGCCCCACTCGGGTTTGATAAAGAATCAACTGCATATGTTTGATTAGAAGCTTTATACAGAGATTGATTTCTGAATAAAAATACCAAGAACTCAGTAGAAAAAGGGCAAAGTATTACTTCAGTTCACAGTAAAGTAGACATGGGACCTCACATCTTTACGTTCAACTTCCCTCACAATAAAAGAAAGAGACATTGGAAGTACATTGAAATATATTTTTTCAGTGATGGAGGTGTGCAAAAGTTATCTGTTGGTGAGTCTGGGTAAATAGGCAGACTCATCCATTGCTAAAGGGAGGGTAGATTGGTACAACTCTCACTAGGGAGGGATATTTGGAGATGGTTTCAGAATCTAAAACTGCTTATTCCCTTTGGCTCAACAATTTTACTTCTGTGAATCTACTGTAAAGATATACTTGCAAGTGAGCACAATGATGTATGCATAAGATTATTCACCAGAGGCTTGTTTATAACAGCCAGAGGTGAGAGATTACCCAATGGCTCATGGCAGGGGACTTGCTCTTCAGATAAGACACTTCTATACAAAGAATGACTATCCAGCTGTAGAAGGAACCAAGACACAATGTTTATACTAATATAGAAGGTTTTAGAAGACATATGAGATGAATAATACAGGGTCTAGAATGCTGCCTTTTATATAAAGAAAATGGGAAATATATGTTTTAACATTTGACTTACATGAAGAAATTCTGGAGGGACACATAAGAATCTATTAACAGTGGCTAGCTGGATGGATGGTGATGGAAGATATATCCATTCGGGAGAAGGGAGATTCACACTGTCTTTATACACACACACACACACACACACACACACTCTCTCTCTCTCTCTCTCTCTCTCTCTCTCTCGAACTGCATGAATGTTTTACCTTTTCAAAAATATTATGTTAAAAAAAAAATCTTTCTTAAAGAAATGAGGGAGTCTGGGAGAGAGAGGCAGCAGAAGATTAATTTTACTTCCTTTGTGTAAGCAACACTATTCATTCCAGTGAGAATTCAAGGTCTGTTCTGAATGCTGTATTAACCACCACAGTTAATTTTCTTCACATCTTGTGAACTGGCCTTGGGGAGGGAGTGTGTGTGCATGTGTGTGAACCTTGGGGCGTGGCTCCTTCCTCATGATATCCTGGTTGCTATAGTGCAGAGCTCTATTTGTGACACCCAGAAAACACTTTAAAGAAATGCTGCTTCCTGGCCATAACTTCCTGGGCAATCTGTCCTTCCGGAGGCTGTTGAGCACGAGGAGTTTGCATGTGCTTCTGGGCAGAGTGAGCCAGGCGCATTCAGACCCCAGCCGTTCAGAGCAGAACTGGGCGGTAAGGGTTCCACCTTGCTTCACAGTGGGGACTTGGGAGCCTATCCCTAGCCAGCGCCTCATCTCCTGGCGGCTCTGACCCCAGGGCATCGGTATCTTCCCCTCCTCTACCTTCCCTCCTGGGGAGCTGCTGCTGTTGAGTGGTGCAGTTGGCGCCCTGAGTCTTCTGCACCCAGAGCCGTTTCTTATACCTAAACCACCAGTGAAAACAGGAAGTGATAAGGCAAAATTCACCCTGTATTTGCACTGAGCGACTTCTCTTTCTCTTTTTGTCATTCCTCATTAGGTGTAGACACGTGCAGCCGTCTACACCGTAGGATCCCACTTCCACTGGCTTTGGACATTCCCGGAATTTACAATGCCGCCGCCTGCAGACATCGTCAAGGTGGCCATAGAATGGCCGGGTGCCTACCCCAAGCTCATGGAGATCGACCAGGTTAGTAAGACTGGCAGTCATTTGGCGGTTATTTTAGTTTCCCTTCTATTCTGAATTTTTCCCAGACTTAGCTCTTTTTTCTCCCATTCTGTCTCTGGCTGTGTTGAAAAATCGGTGTGATAATACTTACAGTATAGTTTGATTTCTGTACCACGTGTAGTGGCGATGTGGGGTTTTTATAACATCTACTCAGAGTGAGTCAATACAGGGTTTGTGTCCGAAGCTGTGAAGGAGGCGGGAGCGACAAGGGGACTGGACTTGGGCAGTTGATGCAGTGGAGCCTGTCCCAGCACTGCCTTGCAGAGACTCATGACTATGAATAGATTGTTTTATTATAGACAACACAAAACTTAATTTTTGGAGTCACTCTTCTCTGGTTTTTGCAGAAGCAGCCAACAAGTACAATGTGACTTTGTCCTATTACTATTTTGATTATGAAATTAGCATAGAGGGGTGGGTCTTGGGTCTTAGCCAGTTGTAATTTCATTATTCAAGTCAAATGCACTGTGGGTCTAGTGTATTGTTTTGTATATGAAAAATGCCCAGTAAATTTTTACTGCTTGAAAAAATATCACAAAAATTTTTAGCATGGTTTTACCTATGGAAGCATCCTTTAGCTTGGGTACTGAGTCTTATGATGTAATTGATTGCAGGCAATCTCAGGGAGGTTACTTTTGTCATTATAGAGTAAATGACTTAAAAACAAAAAAGTTTGAGATCTAGTATATGCTTAAGGGTTTCATAAAGCATGTAGTATGGGGTTCTGGATGGCTTTCTACATTTTCAAAATTACGGTACCATGGCAACTCTATTTCTTATGTACTCAATAATATTTTATGATTATGCTCTACACTTTTTTTCTGGTCAGATTTTATTATCTGGTTGAAGAGCACTGGAGGGTTTGTAAGACATTGTGTGCATCCAAATGATTCATTAAATTATAAAGGTCAAATGAGAATGAGTTGAGTTTGAGCATGAATGTAAGGAAGAGTAAATTTTGTTGTAAAAAAGGTGTCATCAGACCAACATGTCATAGTCATTGTAACTTGTTCTTTGAGGCAGATTTTGTTAACTTTAGAAGCAATCCATGAAAGTAGAGAAGTGCGCCTAGTAATTTTATATACATTTGTGTCAGGCAACAGTTGTTTATGCTTTTTCAAGTGCTGTTTGAGAGAGGATTCACATTGAATATGGCTTCAAGATATGGCCGGGGCTACTTGGTGAAGACTAAATGTAGTTAGGATTATGTTTGTCTACAACCCAAGAGAAGAGTTGTTTCAAAGAGATAGAAGTTGGCTTCTCAAATCCACAGGACTTCCCTAGCAGCTCAGATGGTAAAGCATCTGCCTACAGTGTGGGAGACGTGGGTTCGATTCCTGGGTTGGGAAGATCCCCTGGAGAAGGAAATGGCAATCCACTCCAGTACTCTTGCTTGGAAAATCCCACGGATGGAGGAGACTGGTAGGCTACAGTCCACAGGGTCGCAAAGAGTCGGACACAACTGAGTGACTTCACTTTCTTTCTTTCCCTCTCTCTCTCTTTCTTCTTTAAGTCCACAGGGCAGTCCTGGGCTGGTATGATGCTCCAGTGTCGTGGACCCAGGCCCACTCTGTCTTGTTGCTTTGCCTTGTATGCAGGTGGGGCTGAGGATCAGTTGCTTGAGCATCTCTTAAGAACTCAGTAGATATACGGACTTTCAGACCCTACCCAGACCTTCTGACCCAGATGTGAATTTTAACAAGATCCCCAGGGGATTTCTTGTATAGTTAATTCTGAGAAATACTGAGCTGGATACCTGGGCCCAAGCCCGAGGCCATATCAGAACCACTTGGGGCACTTGTTCAAATGTTCTCTGGGGCCCCATCTCCAGAGATTCTAAGTCAGTGGTTCAGATAAACTATTTCCTTTTGATTGTGCCATGGCCAAGGGTGTTTGGAAACCTCTTCTTTAAGACAGCAATTCCTGACATATACTCTTAGGGGCCTGTGGAATCAGTATCCTGTCCCTGCCTTTGGGGATGGCCTTTGCTGTATGTGTGTCAATAATCTTTCTAAAATATTCTTTTTATTTGGGAACAGTTTTAGATTGACAGACAAAATACAAAGATTGTATAGAGAGTTTTTGTATACACTTCACTAAATTTATCCTAATGTTAACATCTTAATATAACTGTGGTACAGTTTCCTAAACTATGCACATTACTAGTAACTAAATTAAAAAATTTATTAAGATTTCATCAGTGTTTCCACTAATGTCCTTCTTCTGTTACAGGATCCAATACAAGAATACCAACTGCACTGTAATATATTCATCTTGTTTCCTCTATCTTCTCCAGTCTTTGACAATTTCCAAGTCTTTCCCTTGTTTTTCATGGCCTGATAGTTTTGAGGAGTTATTTATTTCAATACAATTTCACACACAAAAATGACAAGAATAGTACAAAGAACTCTTGTCTACCTTTTATCCAGACTTACTAATTATTAATATTTTGCTTCATTATTTTTTCTCCCTTGTGTACATATCCCCTTTTGAACCATTTGAGTTGACTTAGAGGCAGCATCTCTCTTTACCCCTAAATAGTCAATGTGTCCTCCTTAGGAACAAAATCATTCTCTTACATAACCATGCCCTCTTTATAGAAACCAGAAAACTGAACATTAGTTCAACATTATCGTCTCATTCAGAGCCCAAAGCCCATATTCATATTTCATCAGTTACTCTAATAAGATCCTTGATAGGTATTTTCCTCAGTCTGACATCCTTTCAGCATCCTGAAAGGATTGATCATGACAATGCATTTATTGTCATGTCCCTCTGGTCTTCATGGCTCTTAAATGGTTCCTTAGAGATTCTTTATCTTTCTTGACCTAGAAAGTTCTATAGAGTATAGGACAGGTATTTTGTGGGATGTCCTTTAGTTTAGGTTTCTCCAATGTTTCTTTCCAATTAGATGCAGGTTTTGCATTTTTGGCAGACAGAAAGGAGAGATGAGGTTTCTCTTCAGGGCATCACGTCAAGAGGTACATAAAGTTGCTTTGTCTTGTTCTTGGTGATGGTTCTAAATTTACACATGCTAATGTTGAGATTTGTAGAAGTTAGACGATTTCCTAGTCAATGAGACCAGGACACAGACCCAGGCCTCCTGTACTTTGAAGACTGAACTTTTAAACTATTGGCTAAATTGTAGACCTCCTGCTAATGCCATGTGGAGACCTCCAAAAAGTGTTAGGAAACCCAGTCCCTTTTTGCCCTGCAGTGGCTGAAGTTAGAGTGAGTGGCAGCCTTGCTATCAGGTGTTGTTTCTTGATTGAGTTGGAAGTTGGCACAAGGATCGGAAATGTACTTGCACAAGCAAGGAAGGCTTGAGCAGAGTTTTCTCCTAATCTTCTACCTTGTTCAATAAAGGTCACATCACCTGCTTCTGTCCCATCACATTTTACTTTTACTCCTTTGCCCTTAGCTACCATTTCACGACAAGGTATTTCTGGAAGCTGGGTCAAGCATGGCTGCTCCGTCTTCTCCCCCAAACCTCCAATATCCCTCCACTTGTCACACTGTGCTGTCCTTATCTATCAACTTAAACTGGTGGTCCTCAACCCTGAGTGTGTCAGGGCAGCTTGTGAGAAACAAACATCCCAGGCCCACTGCAGGGATTGTGATTCTGCAGACCCAGGGTGGACCCTTGATCTGGTTTGTGATGAGCACTACATGATCTAGAGCAGAGTCACCCTCATTGCATCTTGCAGGGATTCGAGAGGAAACCACCTTGAGCCTGAATTACTCCATTTCTGAATACCTTTTTTTCTAGTGCCTGTTGACCAACCTTTCTATATAAGTGAATAATTAATGACTAGCTAGGAGAAGGAGATTCCTGAGTGGGGATCAAGTCTGCTGAGTCAGGGCCCATCCCAGTTGCAGGGGATGTCTACTTGGAGTGGATTGGTTTATCTTCATTCTAAATTTTGAGGAAACAGTTCTGTGTTTCTACTCCACAGGAAAAGCCGCGAGGAACTTTTTACAAGTGAAGTCTGCTCTATCATATGAGGCTCTTAAAAGAGCTGTCATCTAGCTTCTTTGTTCATGGTGGCAGCCTCTGCTCCTGTCTTCACTGTCTGTTGCTGGCTTTCAACCTCAGGAACCACTTGTGGTTTTAGGTGATCGTTGTCTGGATACACAGAGCCAAAAAGCCTCCCTGTCCACTCCTGTTAACCTAATGTTTTCTGAACAGATATTTTTTGGTCAAGCCTGTAGAACCCCCAGCTCTTTGACAAGAAGCGTAATGCAGTGTGCCCTAACAAACGCAATACGGGCTCTGGGACATTTAAACCTGTGGGGTCGACCCAAGGGCCCCCTTTCTGTGAGAACTCAGTTAGCCTCTTTGAGCCTCATTATCTTTGTCTAGTCAAGTCAAGATAATAACTCACCACTTTTGTGATCATTGTGAAGATTAAAGAAAATATATGAAAAGAATTGGATGCTGCCCGGTTCAGAGTAATTACCCAGTAAAGGCATTGTTGGGTTTCCCTGGTGGCTCAGCGGTAAAAGAATTCGCCTGCAATTCAGGAGCCACAGGAGATGTACGTTTGACTCCTGGGTTGGGGAGATCCACTGGAGGAGAGCATGGCAACCCACTCCAGTATCCTTGCTGGGAAAATCTCATGGATGGAGGAACCTGGCGGGCTATGGTCCATAAGGTCGCAAAGAATCAGACACGACTGAAGTGGCTTAGCATGCTTTCAAAGGCTTTATTAAGCCTGCTCATTTAAGATCTGCTCATTTAAGCAAGTTCTCATCCAATAAGAGAATGAGATGCTCAGGTTTTCTTTTTTGCCTGCCCGTCCATCATGAATGGTTTCCCACCTTTCTCCTCCTTTTTCTGCGTGACTTTTTTTAGGAAAGAGAAGAAGTTAAAGGGCAAGTGGGAGGGAGGCATCACCTAGTAATAAAGGAACATGCTAACTGGCCACACAACAAGTTCATGCTATGGAATATTCACTTGC